TTACACTTAGTATATTATTCAATTATATACTCCATTTTCTTTTTATACAAATGCGTATTTTATATCATAGGCCTATAGATAATCAATATAATTTTAATCTATACTTATACCAATAATACTATGGTATTCTCACCTTTGTACAGGAACCGAAGAGGAACGTGGGATAACAAAATGGCGTCTTACTTTATCAAAAGCTGGCGAAACAACTAAAGAAACTTCATTTGCAATGAAGACATACGATTTCCCGTTCGGCATGAGTTTCATTCGCAAGAAAGCCTTTTTTTCATATCTACCATTCTGCCCAACATTTCCAGCACCTTCGTGCAAGTTTGGAAAAAATGAAGACAGTAAGTAAATCTTTTCCCCTGCAGTCTGTTTGTTTTTTAGGTGGGGGTTCAGTTTTTTGTTACTTTCAGTATAATAGGTCTATGTTCTCTTTGTTTTTTTCTCAGTGATTTAAATCCCTTGCATACTTAAGATTACGACACGACAAAGACATATCATCGCGTAGTTTGTATTCTTCAACACTGCGCGCATTTGTATCGTGTCGTTGCCGTGTCGTAATTGTGTTTAGTGTAAACAGAGCTTTGGACTGCTTTTGCATTACTCTCACATCAAAAATAAGCCTAATAATTATGTTATAATTATGAATATGTAATTCATAGATATATTATATTTTCTTACGTTTTTATATAAAACAATTATTTATATTACCGAATCGAAATTTTATAGCTTTGTGTAATTTTTTTTTCAGTACACGGTGATGAAAATATGGGTGCAGATACTCGCATGTAGAGGCGCGTTAACACAGTTAGAGTAATGAAAATGTACCGTATGCTTCTTGTCTTTCAATGATAACTTTTAAACTGGTATTCCACATTTACGCGATAAATTTACTGTCAATTTATATTATTCACATAGGGCCTACCAACCAAAACAGCCAATTAACAGTAAAATCCGATTCGAAATACATGTTGTCCTACAATGGCGTCTATGCAAAATATAAAGTAGGGTCTATAAAAGCTATGGGGACAGTCGATCACTTAGGCTTATTTTGAAGTCGGAGGTATTGTTGGTCCCGATCGCACTAAGGTCATTATTAGATAGGCGTATCTTCATAAGACTTATACAAATGGATACCTTATTTGAAGCAAGAAATCAAGTTGCCTTTACAAGATCGCTCGCTTATATTATTCGGCGGGATATTTACCTTTTATATTATGTCAATACAAAAAAAGACTTGTTTAATTGGCGGAAAGTATATACAATTTTTATAATAAATGCAAAGCATATAGAAATATAGTTTGGGCATAGTTCGTCATCTTTTATTAAGTAGGTCTATTATCTATATAATGCATTTAAGTTTAATATTATTGCCTATAGAAACAAATTTTTATATTGTTAAACTGGTATTGTTTTTGTTTTTTATGTTTAGGTTGTTGAGTATAGGTGAAATCTGACCTGATTTTCTTCACCCCGTTTACTATTGTTTATTTGATATAATTAGGCCTAAGAACATTTCTCCGCTTTTGGTGACACGTTTAAAACTAACACGTTTAGGTTGTTGAATGTAGATGGAATTTGACATAATTTTCTTCACCACGTTTACTATTGCTTATTTTATGTAAATACCAATCTTTACCCGATTTCAATTACACGAATCGTGTTTGGTGACACGTTTATAGCTATTGTGTTTTCGGTTGCTAAATTAGATTTATGTAAAATTTGTTCTGATTTCTTTTACTATTGTTTATTTTTTGTAATTACCAATCCTTCCCCGATTTTGGTATGACGTTTAAAGCTAAACCTTTTTGTTGACACGTTTAAAGCTAACGTGAAATCTGACCTAATTTTCTTCACCTTGTTTACTATTGTTTATTTTATGTAATTAACAGTTTTCTCCGCTTTTGGTAACACGTTTAAAGTTAAACGTGTTTAGGCTTATCGTGACCGGCATGGATGGGCATGGTATCAATCATGGTATTTAAGTCAACAATGATTATTGCACTTCAGTCGTTATTAATTATTGTATTTTAGTCAACATCAAATGATTATTGCACTTCAGTCGATGAATATTCAGTATTGAACTAAGTTGATGGTGAACTTTGAACTTGATCGTATCATTTTAGTAACATTTGTTTAATCTACAAATCAAGATGGTTCTGTTAAACCGTCAAATTTATGATTGGTAAATTTTGTAAAACGTAACATAAGAATAGAAGAATATATGGAATCGATACATGATAGAATAAAACAGTTTAATGACGAGTGGAAACTACTAAAACAGTTAGGCCTAAGTTCATAGGTTTTTGATATCTATCGGGTCTTTGGCCCTAAGCATTACTATGCAAAATGTTATTTAAAAATCATGTATGCTAAATTTTCTTTTATCAAGATATTTGCATTAACTTATTTTGTGTGTTTTTTGGTTTTGTTTTGTTTTTGTTTTTGTTTTTTATCGCTGCGTCGGTTTACATATTCAAATTGAAATTTATATTTGATATACGAATATGAGTAATTTATTGTAATTTTGCTTGCTATTTAATAGCAATTGTATTTAATATTTAATCATTGGCATTGATGTAAGTAGGCCTACCGATATTAATTTATTGTATTACCTTATTTTAAGATTGTGTAATGGGGTAACTAAGAAATGGAATATCATGTAATATTATGGATTTATACTTGACCTATGGATTAATAAATTAAATTTTTTTTAAATTTTATCGATTCTTTTAATTCTCTCTGTGTGTTTAGTACAATGTTATTCATTCAATCAATCATTCATTCATTTAATTTTATTACTACCATTTATTAAATAACAATCGATATTTCTATGATTGTAGGATACCGCAATGCACAACGGAGTTTTTTTTTTTTAGGACAATTTTTTGACTCCACCATTTTGCGATTGTTTTGTGCTGTGGCACATATGGATCAAAAGCATACTCTGCAGGGTGAAAATTGCCACCTAATATCTAGTTTAAAGCTTATATAACGATAAATCGGATAATACTAAAATATTCCTATGTTCGAATTTGGGAAAACTTAAACTTTTCATCGTAAACAATTTTGTTGAACAAAGTTAAATCGAAAATAATCAGTGGTTCGTGACCACTACGAGTCAATACCATGTTTGTAAGTGTGATTTCTGCTCTTTAGTATTCAGACTAATCTGCCGAACGTATGCATATGATCTCAATGGAATGATAAACGAAAAACGTATTCTGCCGAATGTAAGCCTATGATCTTAATGGAGTGATAAACTAAAAACCTAATCTGTCGAATGTAGGCCTATAATCTCAATGGAATGATAAACGAAAAGCGTAACTTGCCGAATGTAGGCCTATGATCTCAATGGAATGATAAAAGGAAAGCCTAATCTGCCGAATTGTAAGCCTGATCTTAATGGAGTAATAAACAAAAAGCCTAATCTCCCGAATGTAGGCCTTTGATGATCTCAATGGAATGATAAACGAAAAGCCTAATCTGCCGAATGTAGGCCTTTGATCTCAATGGAGTGATAAACGAAAAGCATAATCTGCCGAATGTAGGCCTATGATCTCAATGGAATGATAAATGAAATGCCTAATCTGCCGAATGTAGGCCTATGATCTCAATGGAATGATAAACGAAAAACCTAATCTACCAAAATGTAGGCCTATGATCTGAATAGAATGATAACCGAAAAACATAATCTGCCAAATGTAGGCCTATGATCTCAGTGGAATGATAAACGAAAACCCTAATCTGAAAAATGTTGGCCTATGATCTCAATGGAAGGATAAACGAAAAACCTAATCTGCTAAATGTAGTGCCTTTGATCTCAATGGAATGATAAACGAAAAACCTAATCTGCCAAATGTAGTGCCTTTGATCTCAATGGAATGATAAACGAAAAACATAATCTGCCAAATGTAGGCCTATGATCTCAGTGGAATGATAAACGAAAACCCTAATCTGAAAAATGTTGGCCTATGATCTCAATGGAAGGATAAACGAAAAACCTAATCTGCTAAATGTAGTGCCTTTGATCTCAATGGAATGATAAACGAAAAACCTAATCTGCCAAATGTAGGCCTATGATCTCAATAGAATGATAAACGAAAAGCCTAATTCTGCCGAATTTAGGCACGATCTCAATGGAATGATAAACGAAAAGCCTAATCTACCAAATTTAGGCCTATGATCTCAATGGAATGATAAACAAAAAACCTAATCTGCCAAATGTAGGCATGATCTCAATGGAATGATAAACAAAAAGCCTAATCTGCCAAATGTAGGCATATGACCTCAATGGAATGATAAACGAAAAGCCCAATTCTGCCGAATGTAGACCTATGATCTCAATGGAATGATAAACGAAAAGCATAATTCTGCCGAATGTAGGCCTATGATCTCAATGGAATGATAAACGAAAAGCCTAATTCTGCCGAATGTAGGCATGATCTCAATGGAATGATAAACAAAAAGCCTAATTTACAAAATGTAGGCCAATGATCTCAATGGAATGATAAACGAAAAGCCTAATCTACAAAATGTAGGTCTATGATCTGAATGGAATGATAAACGAAAAGCCTAATTCTGCCGAATTTAGGCATGATCTCAATGGAATGATAAACGAAAATCCCAATCTACAAAATGTAGGCCTATGATCTCAATGTAATGATAAACAAAAATCCTAATCTACAAAATGTAGGTCTATGATCTGAATGGAATAATAAACATAAAGCCTAATTCTGCCGAATGTAGGCATGATCTCAATGGAATGATAAACGAAAAGCCTAATCTACCAAATTTAAGCCTATGATCTCAATGGAATGATAAATGAAAAGCCTAATTCTGCCGAATGTAGGCATGATCTCAATGGAATGATAAACGAAAATCCTAATCTACAAAATGTAGGTCTATGATCTGAATAGAATGATAAACGAAAAACCTAATCTGCCAAATGTAGGCCCATGATCTCAATGGAATGATAAACGAAAAGCCTAATTCTGCCGAATGTAGGCATGATCTCAATGGAGTGATAAACGAAAAGCCTAATCTACAAAATGTAGGCCTATGATCTCAATAGAATGATAAACAAAAAGCCTAATCTGCCGAATGTAGGCCAATGATCTCAATGGAATGATAAACGAAAAACCTAATTCTGCCGAATGTAGGCATGATCTCAATGTAATGATAAACAAAAATCCTAATCTACAAAATGTAGGTCTATGATCTGAATGGAATGATAAACGAAAAACCTAATCTGCCAAATGTAGGCCCATGATCTCAATGGAATAATAAATGAAAAGCCTAATTCTGCCGAATGTAGGCATGATCTCAATGTAATGATAAAAAAAATCCTAATCTACAAAATGTAGGTCTATGATCTGAATGGAAGGATAAACGAAAAACCTAATCTGCCAAATGTAGGCCCATGATCTCAATTGAATTATAAATGAAAAGCCTAATTCTGCCGAATGTAGGCATGACCTCAATGTAATGATAAACTAAAATCCTAATCTACAAAATGTAGCCCTATGATCTCAATGTAATGATAAACGAAAAGCATAATTCTGCCGAATGTAGGCATGATCTCAATGGAATGAAAAACGAAAAGACTAATCTGTCGAATGTGAGCCTATGATCTGAATGGAGTGATAAACAAAAAGCCTAACCTGTCGAATGTAGACCTATGATCTCAATGGAATTATAAACAAAAAGCCCAATCTGCCAAATGTAGGCCTATGTTCTCAATGAAATGATAAACAAAAAGACTAATCTAACAAATGTAGGTCTATGATCTGAATAGAATGATAAACGAAAAACCTAATCTGCCAAATGTAGGCCTATGATCTCAATGGAATGATAAACGAAAAGCCTAATTCTTCCGAATGTAGGCATGATCTCAATGTAATGATAAACTAAAATCCTAATCTACAAAATGTAGGCCTATGATCTCAATGGAATGATAAACGAAAAACATAATCTGCCAAATGTAGGCCCATGATCTCAATGGAATGATAAACGAAAAGCCTAATTCTGCCGAATGTAGGCATGATCTCAATGTCATGATAAACGAAAAGCCTAATCTGCCGAATGTGAGCCTATGATCTGAATGGAGTGGTAAACGAAAAGCCTAATCTGCTGAATGTAGGCCTATGATCTGAATGAAATGATAAACGAAAAGCCTAATCTGCTGCCAAATGTAGGCCTATGATCTCAATGGAATAATAAACGAAAAACCTAATCTGCCAAATATAGGCATGATCTTAATGGAATGATAAACGAAAAGCATAATCTGCCAAATGTAGGCATATAATCTCAATGGAATGATAAACGGAAAACCTAATCTGCCAAATGTAGGCCTATGATCTCAATGGAATGATAAACGAAAAACCTAATCTGCCAAATGTAGGCCTATGATCTCAATGGAGGGATAAACGAAAAACTTAATCTGCCAAATGTAGGCTTTTGATCTCAATGGAATGATTAACAAAAAGCCTAATCTGCCGAATGTAGGCCTATGATCTCAATGGAGGGATAAACGAAAAACTTAATCTGCCAAATGTAGGCTTTTGATCTCAATGGAATGATAAACAAAAAGTCAAATCTGCCGAATGTAGGCCCATGATCTCAATTGAATGATAAACGAAAAGCCTAATCTGCCGAATGTTAGGCATGATCTCAATGGAATTTGAAAAACGAAAAGCCTAATCTGCCGAATATAGGCCTATGATCTCAATGGAATGAAAAACGAAAAACCTAATCTGCCGAATGTAGGCCTATGATATCAATGGAATGATAAACGAAAAACCTAATCTGCCGAATATAGGCCTATGATCTCAATGGAATGAAAAACGAAAAACCTAATCTGCCAAATGTAGGCCTATGATATCAATGGAATGATAAACGAAAAACCTAATCTGCCGAATGTAGGCCTATGATCTCAATGGAATGAAAAACGAAAAACCTAATCTGCCAAATGTAGGCCTTTGATCTCAATGGAATGATAAACGAAAAGCCTTATCTGCCGAATGTAGGCCTATGATCTCAATGGAATGAAAAACGAAAAACCTAATCTGCCAAATGTAGGCCTATGATATCAATGGAATGATAAACGAAAAACCTAATCTGCCAAATGTAGGCCCATGATCTCAATGCAGTGATAAACGAAAAGCCTAATTCTACCGAATGTAGGCATGCTCTCAATGTAATGATAAACGAAAAGCCTAATCTGTCGAATGTGAGCCTATGATCTGAACGGAGTGATAAACGAAAAGCCTAATCTGCCGAATGTAGGCCTATGATCTCAATGGAATAATAAACGAAAAACCTAATCTGCCGAATGTAGGCATATGATCTCAATGATAAACGAAAAGCCTAATCTGCTGAATTTAAGACAGTGTGCCTACCATTGAACCTTAACGACAGCGGTAGGTATTACGCTCCATTGAACCATCCATGTGGGCTTGAGTTCTACTTACTCTAAGACGGGTCTTCCCGAAAGAAAAATAAATTCGTGTTGTTAATGACGTTTTAAAGCACATCGGAGCAATGTGGACACAAGATAAAATTAATTTATTGGTGAATTAACAAAGTGAACTCATACACAGGGGCGATGTGGATGCATTTTGTTATTGGTCAGACAGGAATCCACAGATTTGTAAGAATTTAGCACTTCTAGACGCTCGGAAACGATTTTCGAAGCATCATAATTTGACGTTTAAAACCTAAGATTAAATAGACTGTTTAAATGTGATTGACGGTCATTAGATCTTCTATTTGCAAATAATTATTGACTCCGCCATTTTCTGATTTTCTTTTTTTGGGTTCTGTCGCACTTGTGGATCAAAAGCATAGTCTGTATCACCTAATTCCTAGTTCAAAGCTTAAATAATGTTAAATTGGATGATACTCAATTAGTTCTCTGTGTCGCAATCTGGGAAATTTAAACTTTTAAAAGCTAATAAAGTGATGTTGAACAAGGTTAGGGGCCTAAACCTTTATGATCCCTAGGTACCATAATCAACAGGAAAAGGATTAGGTGAAATTTTTTGGGACGATTTTTTGACCATGCCATTTTCCGATTGTTTTGTGTTCTGTGGCACATTATGGTTTGAAAGCATACTCTGCAGGGTGACAAATGCCTTATTCAAAGCTTAAATATCGTTAAATCGGATAATACTCAAATACTATTCGGCTGAATCTGCAAAACTGTATACGTTTAATTGTTAAGAAAATTATATTTAACACTTGAAACAATTGGTATTAAAAAGGTCAAATCAAACATAATCGGAGATTTTATGATCCTTAGGTACCTTAATGATAAAAATCAGCAGGAGAACGACTATGATAAAATTCGGCCAATTTTTTAAAAAAGTTTTTTATCGAAATAGAGCGATTTTCTCCTTGCCATTTCGATGGTTTTGTGTTCTGTGGCACCAAGTTGCTTTAGTGATGTGATGATGAAATGAGATTTCTATTCTTGTATTATTCAAGGTCTCGCTCTTTACGTGGCTAGAAATAATAGCCAGCATAGAGCTACTAACTCCGGTCCCATTTGAGCCAAGTGGGAGGAACCAGTGCGGCCCCCCCCCCCCCTAAGCTATGAATGCACTGAACCCTCAGTAAACTTTAGGGTCCCTATTATAAAGGGGGTTCTGACAAAACTTTTTATTTCACAGAAATTCAAGAATGGAACAGATTACCAACACAAATAAAGCTCTTCACTTCTTTAAACTCATTTAAAAAGTCCCTCAAAGATCACCTCTGGAATGTATAGTAGTTCTGTAAGTCTTTTTTAATGAGTTTTAATCGGTCAAATTGGCATTTTTCTTTTAAATTGTTGATCTTTTGTATTGTCTTAACTTTTAAAATTGTAAATAATCCCTTTTCCATTTTTGTTTTGTGTTGATCCCTTCCCCGTACTTCCTTTTGTCAATTGAATGTTTCGTTCGCAGGATCCCAATGGAAATACTGTACGTTTCTTTGAAACCTTTTTGGGCTATTCCTTGCTTTCAGAGTATTCAATTGTTTTGTTTTATCTTGTCTTGTCTTCATTTTTTTTGTATTTTACTCTGATGGCTAAATAAATTCAAATCAAACCTTAGCACACCCTTTCCGAGTGCCTGTCAGTTGAATGAGACATCCTAACCTCCTCTCCGCTGTCTTGCTCGCATAGTACATGCAAAAAAAATCTACAATAAAGTGGATAGTAAGAAAGAAAAAAAAACTAGGGAAAATTCTATTAAAAAGTGGCCGAAAAATTGGCATGGGGTGGATGGAGGCTAATAAGGGCGTTGAACGTGAAGTGGGCGAGTTTTATGAATACTTTAGGGGCGCTAATTGTTGAAATAAGGTGATATAAGGTGATTGTTACACTTGAGCATAATTTTTTTCCGAGTCAATAAAATTCCAATTGGGAGAGAAAGACCAAGGGAGTGTGAAGTGTGATAAATCGTAATTTACAAATTAACAAGATTATTATGCAGGCCCCTATCGCATATTATTATATTAGTATTATTAACCCTATTCTATAGTATTTAAATTACGAATACAAAAAGTGGGGAGTGTGAGCTATTTTTAAGGGTGTGCACCTCCTCCCCACCGTTCACCCCAGTAGATACGCCACTGATTGGTCCCTTAAGGGGGCTCCTAGAAGAGGTGGTCGCACAGGGGCGTAACTGTTATCCTCTCATTGGTTACATTGCCATGCGCGTGCTGAATAAAAGAAGACTATTAAGACTATTATATTTCTTTCTTTTTTCTATATTTATTATTGTTTATAAAATACAATACGGGAACCTACGCATGCTAGATCACCATCAATAAGAATTACAAAGAAGAATAATACACTACAAAATGAATCGTACAACAAGAGAAATGCAAACAAGATTGACCTATGTATTGTATTATGATTATTAGGCCTATTTCTATTTAAAAAAAATACAATATAAAAGGATTTACAATTACAAAATACAAATTCATAAAAACATATTAAGGCCTTAAAATTTAGTATCATTGCTAAATTTTGAAATTAATACTGCGTTACATAGAAACGTGAAGTCCAAATCATCCTTCCAATATATATCGGCTTAGGTCTAGTAAAATAGTCTAGCTATAGGTTCTAGCATGGTATAGGCATCATCATCGTATATGCCTAGGCCTAGCTTATAAACCACTAATGTTTGCGAAAGAGCTATTAAGATGTTTTGCTCAACGGACCTTTCCGTTAAGCTCCGCCCCTTGGATATTGTTGCCACACAATGACGTGTTAAAACGTACTCAAACAAGTGCGTTTGTAGATCAACACGTTTGCTTCTTAGACACGCGCGTACTTATGACCCTTGTCCCGGTTGGTAAGGCCATTGCCATAAGGCATAATTAAAAGTAATAATAATACAATGATAAGCCTTAGCAAGTGTCATGGCACCAATCACGTAACAAGGACCCGTTCACAGAGAAAGCATGTGGGACTATGAGTTTCTGCGTTTCGAAATCCATTATGTAGTACATATCACCTTTAAAGACGTACGCCACTCGATATGGCCCATCGGTCTGGCCATGGTAAACGTTGATAGCGCTAATTCCAGTCTGCAAATCTGGGGGAAATGTCGGAAACTCTGCGGCAATTGAAGTTTGCGATACTAAAGCAGTACCCCTGTACTTAAACACGTCACTTCCTGTTTAGAGAAAAAGATTGTTATTTATTTTTGTAATTCATGTTATCCCAAATGTAGTATTAATTAAGGTACGAAAGCAATTGCGTTTGTTTCATCTCTAGGTAAAAGCCACTTTATATCATATTTCTATATAATAAAAATAATAATAACAATTATTATTATCATTATTATGGTCATCATCATGACATGATATCAACATAATAATAATAATAATAAAAATTATTATTATTATTATTATTATTATTATTATTATTATTATTATCATCATCATATTCATTATTATAACTGCACTGGTTATACGTTAGATTAGACAATATTCTTAGCATAATATACTATTGGGCCTACATATTGATTTAATCACTCCTAATTGTTTCTTACCAACGAAGAAATAGTACAATCCTGTATAAGATGTGAAGACAGCGTCCACGTGACATCCGGGTGACGACCGTGTTAAAGCAGACCAAAACCGCGACAGAGGAGATTGAAACTCAAACCGTAAACCCTGATATCGGTAAAACGTGCAATCCTGTACCATAAAATAAACTTTATTACATATTTTGTAGAGGTTTCTGATAGCGAACTTTAAAAGAAACAATATCTGAAGCATATTTA